TTTAATATTAATTAACTGACTGAGGCTGCAGAAACCACAACAAACCTTTCAGATGCTAAATATTCACATCTATTTTCTTGAGGGTCCTTTTCAAGTATAAAACTGCAGTGGTATTATTCATATTTAATGGGCCAGGCAACATCTTATGGGATCCTGGGATTGTAGATTCCATAGGATCTTACCATGACAGTTAAAATAGAATAACAGTGCTTTAACTGTGTGGCAAGTATAAAACGTTTCAGGTCATCTGAGGAGGTCCTGCTTTCGGTCCCGCCTCCTTTGCAGGTGTGACTGATGGGGACGAGAGACAGGGCCTTCTCAGTGGTAGCTCCTCATCTGTGGAATTCCCTCCCTAGGGATATTAGATCAGCCCACTCCCTCCAGACCTTCTGTAAGAAAGTAAAAACTTGACTTTTTGATCAAGCCATTGAAGAACTTGGGCAATAGATAAAATTGGAATTATGTACAAAACCTGGAATGACCCAGACTATGACTTTGCATAATGTGGCTAACAGTGAAGGCATTGTTTTAAATGTTTAAATGTATTTTATAATTCTATGTAAATGTTTATTTTAACTGTACATTGTTTTTGAGGACACTGAATAGTTGCCTAAGTGTAAGCCGCCTTGAGTCCCCTCCGGGGTGGAGAAAGGCGGGGCAGCAATGGAAACAAATAAATAAATAAATAAATTGTTTTGGATTGTACATGCTGAAAGTTTTCAGAACAATGACCTTTCCTTTCCACACACATATAACATATTATAGAATTATTATTATTAAGAACATTCTTTTTACTTTCTTGAGTAGTCTTTGGAACGAGAGGAAGGAAAAAAGCAATAAGACAAAGTATGGAGCACTCTGAGAAAATCAGAAGAGCTGCAACATATATGAAAATAAAATATGACTTGAATGTCAGAACAGGAGATCTCAGTGAGGGTAAGAAAATATCTGAGAAATATAGTGCTTTCCAAAGTGATGTGTGAACAGAGAGCAAACAAAATGTGGCTCACTACAATGTAAATATATAAATATTTGCTATATGTGTAGGGTCCTGGAGGGAAAAACAGCAATCCCACATTCCATAAGATCTATTGGTTACATTTTATATACTCCTCTGTGCTCATGTCTCCGCTCTACATTTTGAAATTAACTGAATGATCTATGCAAGGACTTAATAAGTAGCTGAGTGACAGAAGATGATATTCAAAACCGAAAATCCAATGCTGGTTGGATACATGTTTTGATCTGATTTCTACAGAGCACTATATTCCAGAACTTTTAAAAAATGGATATTTGATAGGACCTCATTGGACGGACTTATGCCTCCATTTCCATGTGCTGCAGAAACTGAGCCCCACAGAGGCCATCACGTGACGTAAGAGCACTTCCGGTGGGACTCCGTGGAACTTAATTTCCGCAGCACATGGAAACAGAGTAAAAAATCTATCTTCAGCTAAAACTAGAGAAAAATGGACAGGAAATGGGGAAAGGATGTGGGATAGCTGTCCATCCCAGGGGAAAAAAATAAGATGCTAAGATGCTTCCCTTTGCTCCCCCCCCCCCCCCCCCCCCGGTACGCATGGGATGAAGTCCTAGAACGACAAATTCCTTAGAATGACAGACTCCATCCATGAGAATCCATTCAAGTTCTGGATGACTTTCTCCCCCTTGTTCCATATTCTAAACAATAACAACTTACTCAGTCAATCTAGTGTTCAGTGTTCCTATCTGGGTAGAATCAAACCAGGCCATCTCTTGGTGAAGAACAGCAAAAAAGAACTTGTCACGTATTCTTGCAGTTTGTCTTGCAGAACTGGTCACAAAGGTCCAGATCTGAATCCAACTAAAGCCCAGCACAGCAAAGCCGATTGCAATAAAGTAGTAAGCATGCCTGTCAGGGACATTAAAGTTCAATGATATGTTACGCCATTTTCAAATCTATCTATCTATATCTATCTATCTATCTATCTATCTATCTATCTATCTATCTATCTATATCACTTTCAGCAATATAAGCATATTGTACAATTTGTAAAGTCATTGTTTTCAAATATATCACTTATACCATCAAGAAACCCATTAAAACTAACTCCATCCTTCCCCCTAAAAACAATTACCATAAAAAACAATAACCACCACCTTAAAGATATATGATGAAAATATTATCTCACTAACTACTCATCATAACTTCTTTATTCTACTTTACCATCTCATTATTTTACTTAATCTTCAAAAAAATGTAAGCATTTTCACATTTTCTTTTTTCTTTAGTGGGACAAATACTTCCCATTCTTTTAAAAAAGTCAATTGACTTCTCCTTTATTGAACAGGATAACGTGTCAATTTCTGCCAGTTTTAGATTTTTTTTTATAATGCAGTTTTCTTTTTTAATTGACATTTTATTGTTTCATCCCATTCCCACCCTCCCCTCCTTGTACATGCACTTTATACAGCAAATTACAGAAATTACATTTGAAATATCAATCTCAGTCTTAATTTTTCTACCTCACATCTTAGCATATTCTCTAAATAATTCCTAACTGGTTCCCGCCATGCGTTGCTGTGGCCAACCTTCGCTCTCTCTTCTTCTCCTTTCTCTCTCTCCTCCTTTCTCTCCCTCTTTCCTTCCTTCCCTCTTTTTCTTTCCCTTCTTCTTTTTTACTTTTCTACCTGTTTCTTTCTTCACTTCCTTTGCTCTTTGGTTCCATCCTTCCTTGTCTCTTTCCTTCCTTCCTTCCTTCCATCCCTCTTTCTCTCTTTCGTTCCTTCTCTCCTTCCTTCTCTCTCTTTCCTTCCTTCTTTCAATTTTATTTCCTTCTCTCCTTCTTCCCTTCTC